TTTTTTTTTCAAGATATTGAAAGTAGGCTGAAGTTTAGGAAACATGCCCTGCAGCCCCGATAGCAAGACAGGCCACAAGAAGAAGGAAACGGGACTTACAACATACGACCTGTAGCTTCGACAGAAAGATATGCTGCAGTAAGAAGGAAACATGTCACACACGCGCTGCACCTCCGACGGCAAGGTAAGACACAAGATAATGAAACCGGACTTGCAAGAGACGCCCTGCAGCCCCGATAGCAAGCCATGCCCCAAGAATAAGGAAACAGAACATGCAACACAGGCCCTGCAGCCCTAACAGCAAGAAAGTCTACAAGAAAAAGGAAACGGGACTTGCAAACCACGCCCTACAACTCGACAGAATGATATGCTGCAGTAAGAAGGAAACAACATGCCATACAGGCCCTGCAGATCCGAGAGCAAGACATGTCACAGAAGAAGGAAACAGGACATGAAACATATCTTGCATCCCCGACAGCAAGACATGCCAGGAAAGGAATGAAACAGAAAATGCAACACACACTCTGCAGCCCCGACTTCTAGACAGGACGCAAGGAAAAGGAAACGAGACTTGCAACACAGGCCCTGCAGTTTCGACAGTAAGATATGCCGCAGTAAGTAGGAAACAGATCATGCCTCACACGCCCTGCATCTCAGACAGTAAGCAGGAACCGCAACCTGCAATTCACGTCCTGCATCTTCGTCAGCTAGGCAGGCCACAAAAAGAAGGAAACTGAACAAGCTACACATGCCCTGCAGCCTTGACAGAAAGATATGCCACAAAAAGGAGGAAAATTCACGAAACACATATCCTGTATCCCCGACAGCAAGACATGCCACTTGAAGGAGACAGAACATGAGACACACGCCCTGCAGCCCGGCAACAAGACATGTCACAAGAAGAAAATGGATCATGCAAAATATTAGTTTTTGTACCTTGCGCGTGTTGGTCTGACCGATGATCACTCAGACTGACAGTTGTTGTCAATAATCTTTTATTTATGGTAGTACGTGAATGTAAGTGTATTGGTTAATAAAACTGTTGCACAGAGATAGTTCCTTACTCTTCACTATCTGTCTCCAGGATGGTTCGAAACTTATGAGAAGCTCGTTTCTGCTGTTTCAATACAAAACCTACTTCATAGCAACGCAACAGATAAACAATTGTTACATATTAACGAGACTTTACCAGGTAACGATTCCCAACAATTGAAGTTTGTCAAACTCTGCGTTCACGTCTTCACTCTTTGAACTATAAATAGCGATGATCATATGAGATACAAATCTGCTATAACCCAACTGCGAGGTTGTCTGGTAACAAATCAATGACAAAGCTAAAGTCAGAGTTACTTTATGACTGGCGGTATACAGCCAATCAATTAGAACTGGAGTCAGGTCCCTTGATACCCACGACGAGAGATTTTTT